CGATGTGAGTCTGTGCGGGGACGATCGCCTGCGGCTGGACCAGTGCTTGTGTCTGGATGGGAGGCTGTGGGTGGGCCGGGGGGGGTTTCTGCTGGATGGAGAGGTGCTGAGGCAGAACGGCCGGGTGGTGGGAAGCAGCGTTGGAAGGGACGGCTTTCAGGAGCTCGGGGTGCTGGCGCTGCGTTAGTTTTGGTAATGAGTTCACTGGCCTGTCATCTTCCATGTCTTCATCCATGTTGTCTTCACCCTCTGGAAAAAACGAAAGGAAGAAACTCCCATAAAAAAGCAAGCAGAGCACGAACAGGACTGAGCAGCCTCCCTAAAAGGCAGCACAGGCCAAAGAGACGACAGCAGGAGGAGTCACTGAGCTACGGCACAGCAACGCCACCGAGCTCCAGCAGGGCAGCGCAGCCCTCTCCTCCCTGCGTGTGGGCCAGAGATCAGTACCACTCCTTCTGCTCCCAGTGCAAGAAGGAAACAGCCATGGGAAAACATGGCATTAAGTTCCTTGTCTGGGTCTGGAAAACGGACTCTCACCCAGTCCAGCAGCTAATGAAGCAATGCAGGAACACGCTGACCCTGCAGAGGTCAGGAAGATGAGCAGGGCACCTGGCACTGCCTGCTCTAAAGCCAGCCATGCAGCAGAGATTAAAAATCTCAGAAGATACAACAGCAGCAACAGGAAAGACACATCCTTTCTGCAAGCTCTGTGGTTAGGAATAGCTTGAAATGATCACTTCAGCAGAGACCAGCTGGGGGTGAAGGGCTGACAGTCCCAGTGACAAAGCACTCTTACTGTCTACTCCCAGCACCTAGACTGGAAGTCTGTGAGTACACTCACAGGTGATGAGCCTGATACAAGCCTGAATGAACCAGAAACTTTGGGTTTTCCCTTCCTGGGACCTGCTGCATCATCCAAGAGCAACCACAGTCACGATTTGAAGGAACTGCTGGAAATGGTTATGGACTGCTACAGTCTCCTCATCTCTGGAAAGCAAAGCCCTGCATATCCATGGGCTGCCTATTCTTCCTGCTGCACATCACTGGCATAGAGAAAAGCATGCACTCTCCTAGCTCACAAAAGCTTCTCACTGGGAACAGCAGGCCAGATGGTCATCTTCACTTCATTTCATCTTCATTGCAAATCCTTCTCACACAACATGAAGGCTCATTACGCTGTTCAAATGCTCTGGTGATCCTTCCTGAACCAACTCCTTCTTCTCTACGTGGCTGAACACCCTCCCACATTCATGCACAAATACATCAGGATGCTCACACACCACTCAGTTCTAATAAGCAGGGATGCACAGTTGAGCAAGAGGAAAACTAAGTTTTGGAAGCAGGGAACTCCATGTGACGTGTCAGCAGACTGAACGTGCAAACCTGCTGTGTGTGTCTACCTAGTGTCAACACAGGATTTCCAGTTTGCTTTGCACAAGTGGCAGTGTATTATTAGGCCAACATCAATGGTTAGAGAACACTTGAAAACCTTTTACTTTGTTCTGAATGCAAAGAAACCATGACGGTTCTAAATGACGATCCCCACCCCCACGATGTAACTACATACAGTGATGATCATGAGAGCAATTATGGGTACCTGATGCTGTCGAGGTAGATGCCTGGTCATCCTCTGGCTGAACTGTCTGTCGAATAATTCTGTCTATCTCCAAGATGTCCATCCACTGACTCAACTCGTTCTTCAATTCTGCCAGTCGCTGCTGGGTAGCAATCTTCTCTCTTGCCAGTCGCTCCATCTCATGTTCATATTCTTTCTCCTTTCTCTTTAAAGTCTAAAGACAGAAGAAAGAGAAACAAATACATGGAGAATAAAGACAAATATAATCTACACTAACCTGGTCACTTCCACGCCCACAGCTGGTTTTCTTTTATTACTAATTATGCTGGAGTAAAACCTGTTCAGGTAGATCTACACCTTTCAAATTCAGGAAGAAAGGGAAAGGACAAGAACTGGCCACAAAACCTCAAGGGCTACTTTGGCCAACCACTTTCTGCCTTCTGAAGGAAAAAAGATGAGCCTCCACAAAAGAACCTCTGTAAGGACAGCACATACATCCATTCCCAAGCAATCCTAACAAAAGGTTTCATCACAGGGAATCTAAATCCCATACACACTCCTGAACATACAGCTATACAGAGCCTGCACAGATGCTCTTTTTCACTCACTGCTGGCAAGCACTGAATTTAAAAACAAACCTTACACCACAGAGAGCAGCAGAGGATCAGCCTCATAATGATCTGAATATGTGCTCTGTATTTCTCTCTTGAGTTCTCCAGGACAACTGCAATCAGAACCTGACCTCATGCATTTCAGTGGTTCTGCTGGTCTTTTATCTCAAAAGTTAACCAGGAATAACTTTAAAACCTGTTCGACCAGGCCTTTCGTGCAGTCTAAGCCAACACAATAAGCAGGGTAGCTCCTGATGCCTTCTCATAGAAAAGTAAAAAAAATAAAAAATAAAAAATATCTTTGTCCTGATAGTAACAAAAAAGAAAGCTTTTTTTAAATGGCCAAACAACGTGATTAGCAGGGCACAATCATCCCAGATGTGTAAATAGAGACAACTCCTCAGTGAGGCCAGTGCTCTGCCTCCTGCCAGAGCTGGTGTTGGCTCAGCTCAAAGCCCTTCAACATGGACAGTTTCCAGACAAAGGGGCCAATTCTGTCCCTCAGGCTGCTTTTCAAACCACCAGTGGGCACACCACCCCCTTAGAACCGAGGCTTTACATGGGGGAACCCCTGCAGAGCAGAACTTGTCTGAATGTCCTCCTCTCTACTCTGTGATCAGCAGAGAAGCAAGTAGGAGAAAGCTGGAGACTAAATTCACTGCACGCTGGCAGGAGCCCAGGCCCTCTCTGCAGCATTTCTCTCCCAAGAACATTCTCCACGTGGATACTCCCAGGGCATGATAAGGGAAGGGTAGAACATGGGAACACAGCTTTCCAGGGATTATAAGGAGGAAATCCAGGCAGCCCCAGCACCCGCATCACACACAGCACAGGCACCACCGCCAGATCCGGCCTCCCTCCCTGCTGCCAGGGAAGACTCCCAGCAGCGGGGGAAAGCACAACTAGGAGATATAGACAGGGCAGCTGGTAATTAGTTACAAACTGCTAATTAGGGGAAGGGCAGGCAAACCCTCAGCAAGCAGCAGGATGTGTCTCGCAGGCAGCAGGGCCAGGGTGCGCTCTCATCTCCCTAGCACAGCCCTGGGGACCTGGTGCTGCTCCTGGCCCAGCTCTGGGAACCCACCTCCCCATCACCCTGCCACACGGGCTGGCTGGTCCCAGTGACCACTGGCTGCCACCACTGGCTCCTCCCGGGGCTCCAGCAAACGTCCCCCAGCTCACAGGCTGGGAGCTCGCCAAGGGAGCTGCTGGGGAGGACGGAGGAGCAGATGGGCTAGAGTCTCTCTGGCACAGGGAATCTTTCAAAAACTATTCCAGGATGCAACCCACTGCGGCTCGCCTGGTAAAGACGGATCTCCTGAGCTGCTGCTTGGCCTGGAAACGACCTGGGTGTGATTAACCTGAGCCCTCCTCCCTCTCCAGCAGCTCCCTGCCCAGCACGGCCCCAGAAAGCTGAGAACAACCATCACAGCTCTGGCTCTCTGCTCTGCACAGAGCAGCTGGGCTCTCACCACCCAAAGCTGGTGAGATGTGATTTGAGCACAACCCACGTGCAGCAAGGGAGGCAGCACAATTCCCACCAGCTCAACAGACACACCCCCCACTCCGAGACTGCTCTTTCCAAGCAACAAACTTCAGCACAGACCCTGCTCCTTCTGTCTGTGCAGAGATGATTGTAGGGTTTCTTTTTTTAATGTTAAGGAGTTGGAAGCCTGGGTTGCCCACGCAACTTTTACTCCACAGCGTAAGGAAGCTATGGTGAGAATCACAACTTTAAAACTGATTTATTTTTCACTTCTATTTGGTTAAAAAAAAATCCACAAGAGCATCACTTAAAACAACCAGTAAACCCTGACCCTCATGTAGGGGAAGCTGATCTGCCCCAGGAAGAAATAATGGATTTCCTCACTGTCATGTGAATCCATCCATGGCTTTTGACCATTGGGAAGTTTTGCAAATCAGCTGTTGGTTCTGGTGAAAACAAACTGGTCATTTCACTCCAACTCTTGCAGTTTAACTCCTAACCATGCATCAAACAGGGAGATGAGGGCAAACAAAGTGCACAGGAATTGTTTGCTGCAGGGATCAGTGCCCCTGCAAGATACGTATAGTATAATGTAAAGTACAAGAGCAGTCTCACAGAAAACAGGTCTGGTTTGGAAGCAGAGAGCAAGCCCTGTGCTTGGCAATGCCTGCAGAGGACCAAGGGCCTGGGACCCAACTCCCACCCCTGCTACCACACACAGGGGCAACGGCAACAGGGCAGCATAGGCAAATCAAGAAGCCCCTTTATCCTTGATTTAAACATGAGACCAAATTAAAAACAGCATGTGTCTTTGCTTTTGCTCCCTGTGAGTATCTGATTTGCCTCTTCTACATGGAGCTGTCAGCTTCAATGCTGCCTTTACCCATGTGGGTTATTAAAGCAAGACCAGCACAACAGCAGTGACAGCAAACACCCACTGCAACGTTTCACTCCTTTGTGCCTGTTTTTCCCCCAGTTTCAGAGCTGCTCTTTGGTCCTTGTGTGCATCCCACTTGCCATTATTTGGTAAACAAACCAGAAACAAACTGCTGTTGTCACTACACAGCAACAGTCATTTGTCACTGTAAAGAATTTTTCATTTTATAGCTGGCTGTAATTAAATTGCTTATTCTGATGTCAAGATTGAAAATAATGCCCCCAATGCTTTCTCTGCCCTTGCCTCAAGACTAATGCTAGCCCTGAAGTTGGCATCACTGAGGTTTAAAAGGTCTTATTAAAAAGCTCCCCTTATAAACATTATATTACCAATTTAAAAAACACACTTTCAATTATGAGCTTTTCCAAGAGTACATTTCAGCTGCTGTGTTCTATTACGTGGCATTCACTGATTAAAAATTCCTCATCAATGAGCAATCATGGAAGAAGGGATTTGCCATTTTGAACCAGGTTCTTTAACTCCTTGCTACTGTGATGGCAGTCTCTGCAGCAACCCAGGAGCTGTGGGCCAAGAGAGGTCCCCGAGCAGCAATCCCACCCACAGGACTTCCACACAATTCAGCACAGGCCAACCCAGCCAGACAGGTTTTCCATGACTTACGGAGTTTTGATTCGTATATATAATGGAAAAAAAGCTAAATCCTAAGGAAACGATCTTATCCTTGCAGGGACTGGCACACTGAAACAGATCTATACAAGTAGCTCACCAGCCTGTCTCCAGTAACGTTGGATCCAGAAGCATCATAAGACAGTGGGGGTGCCAAAGAACATGTGGTCCCCCCAGGCCCCCAAGGCTGGGCTGGCAGAAGAGCCACGCTCAGCTGTAGTACTTTGGGCTTTTGGATTAGTTATATCCAATTTGGACATTCCTACTTTGGATCTTGCTAAATTTTCTATTTAGCTCTTCAGGTGCAATGAGCAGTTGCTTAAAGCCCAGCACCTAGAGAAATCACTTGCCCCAACTCAACCTGCTGCCATGAAGGAGAGCCCAGGGACACAGAAGAGTCGCGAGGCAGGTCCCCATGTGGTGTCAGGCCAGGGTCCCCTGTACCAGCAGCAAGTGTGTGCAGTGGTGGTGGCTGCCTGTGCTGGCAGAGCTGAAGGCACCCACCTCTGCCTGCCTGCTGAGCACCTGCTCCTGCACCCCAGACCTCCAAGACCTCCTGAGCCCATTCTCCCACAGATGCCAACAGCGTCTCAGCCTGTGGAAAACAGCACCGGTCAGGATCAGGCCATCTGCAGAGGTAACAGCAATCCCTCTCCTTCTGCTTGTGTGAAACCCCAGCTGGTTGCCACGGGAACCAAAGCCATGGTTTCCATGGTAACTGCTTCATTTGGCTGGTTCTTGGGAGATGAAATCCCGCAGTGGTGCCGGATGCACCAGCCTGGTACCACCGAGACAGGGAAACACGCGTTGCTGCCCAGCCCACATCCCACCTGCAGCTACATCCCTGTGTGATCCACAGCCTCTCCAGGGGTTTTCCAGAGCTTTGGCTCACTGTAGGTTTATGGTCTTACTTTCCTCAGATATAACACAAAATCACAATGGGCTCGACCCGAAGCTCATTAACGCAAAGCGGCAGCACAGACCTGGGGGTGCCTGGCACCGTGCAGGGCTCCAACGCACCAAGGGCCTGGTGACTCAGAGGAGGAAGCCGTCCTCCCTCACCACTTCTCCTCCCTGTTTCCCCATACTTGCAAGGAGGTCAGAGCCAGTTACTCACATCCCGATGGCTCCACCTACGGCCCACAGAGCAGATCTGGGTCACGAGAGGATTTCTCTCCACCTCCTTCCCTCACTGTTACCACCACGGTGGCAGGAGGACATCAAACCCAGCTACTAAACACCAACCGACTCCGGCACCTGTGCAAGGCCATGAAGCAAAGCCAGGAGGGAAAACCTCTGTCTCACTGCAAGAGCTGAAGGTGCTGAACAGGCACAGCAGCCACAGCTGCCCTGGCACTGCGGCACTGGGACCCCTGGCCCGGCACATGAGGGTGGTCCCAGGGCTGGAGATGGGTGCTGGGGACGATGGGATTGGAATGACGACACTTCTCCGGGAGCAGAGCACAGCAAGAATCAACCAGCTGTCTGCAAACCCACCCAGCCTGCGCAGCAGCACTGCAGAACGCCTGCAGGATGAAATCAATCTTCTTTTA